GACACGTTTTTACAAATTCCACCCAACGAAATTGTGAGAGAAATTACCACCATAAATACTTCATTCGGTCTGCTCGGAAACAAATTCCTACCGTTCGGGTCAAATTTTTCGCCCAAGAAATTCCAAAGGGTTTTAAGTCGGATTATTACTAGACGTGATTTTATTTAATCATGGCAGGATGATAACGTCATTAATGCTGAAAATGTTGAGTCCAGTTACAGATGCATTTCAAAAATATTTAGACATCCCACTGATACAGATGTTGCCGTGAATCCGTTTATGGTAAAGATGCTATAAATATTCGGAGTCTGACATTGCCTTAACCCGTAACACCTTTATAATTGAAGTATGCCAACCCAGGCAAATCAAAAGACAGAGATGAAGAAGTTGGAGGATATATTCGGAAGGCTATCGGTATACGAGTAACGTTTGGTCTAAGCTGGTCAACGGTTAAAAATGATTAGCACGACGTACCCACTTGTAATCTGCCGCCCAGCATGGACTAGCTAGACGCAGACCATGAGAAAGATTCCTATCACTTCGCTGATAGTTCAAAAAACAGTCTGGCAAGAATGACTATCAGGTAGTACAACCATTGTCTGCTAATATAAACGCTTTGCTAAGGGAACTCGTAAGTATTTTGTGTCACACCATGGTGACGAAAGGCTGGAACATTCACTAAAAGAGTTTTTTTCTTTAGTTATACAAAAAGAGGAAATACGTATCACTACATCCTGAAAGTGTACTATGTTTCGATGATAGTGTAATCGTAACTTCAGCGCTTATATCTGCGATATTGAAGAACCTTCAGTTGGAAGCAAAAAAATTACTTCATTTACACGCCATATTTTTGGTGGTCTGGGATTGATATTGATATAAGTAAATAATGGAAAAACTGTCCTCCTCGTTTACATAGACCATTGTACAATAAACTTACTAGAAACCCTTTTGTGGCATCTTATTATTCATGGTAACGTACTCTCAGAGTAAAGATCTTAATAACTTGCACTCCGAAATTGGACGTTACTCTCTGTTAACAGTTCAACAATATTTTCAGTTTAATAGTGTCGCATAAAATTTCTCCCTAATCATAGACTTATGCCATAATAGTGGATCCAAGCGGAGTAAAAGAAGTGGAGTATTGCATTGGCAATTTCTTACTTCGCTTACGTAATAGAGAATATTTACATGCTCATAACGATCCAGCCAAACTCGTCACATATTTTGGACTCATTTAGTAAACAGAACCTTATCAGAAGCACAGTTTTATTGAGGAAATGATTATCAAACTTCTGCGGGAATAATAGTAAAGGTGGTGAAGACCTTTGGTCTAAATGACCATTAACTTCACAACGGACAAGTGCAAAATGGAAAGATTAATCACACATTTATTTCAATTTTAGCTCTGGTCATTTTCTAACTAGTTCTCATTCTGTAGATACTCCTGAACTCCAGACAGATAGTACCAATTTTGACTACATTTGTTTTCCTACTGATGATGAAAGCATAAATAAACGCGAATTTCGAAAAACAGAGAGGAAGTCGGGATGCCAAATAGTTCAGACGTCTGTTAGAACTTCGAACTGCACATAATCACTAAATTTATTGTAACTGCCTTCAATGGATTACTTTTGATTATATGTAGTGACTTTAAATCACGTGACTGTGGCTTTCTTTCTTCCCCAGTTCATTAAGATTCTGTAGATTTTCTCATTCTCTCTGACGACCACTTACACTTTGTTTTCATAGGTGATGTAGGAATATATGTGACTCGTAAACCTACTTCACACTCCAGTTCTGATCACTGCATCATCCGTGTTCTATCTAAAGTATATTGCAAACCCTGAATGAGTACACTGTTATATCGGACAAATAAAGTTTTGCACCAAAAGCTCTCAGAAGAAAGTATCAAAAATCTGTAAAAGTATGTTTCGTGCGATAAAACTAAATTTATTTTCACATGACTAATTGGAAAACACTTTTTATGTTGCCGTTCATTATCTTAAACTCTGCTTTGATGTTTGTTGTTCCAGTGAAATCATTTTTGTAACTTCTGATCGATTTACATCCTCCAAACTAAATGAATACGGAGAAAAACCCAATTAAGGTCAGAAAGCTAAATAGCCTAATAAACCTAGAGATCAGACGTCAGAACTGATTGCTTACTTAGAAACTCCTTTCTTGTAAACATTCGTCAAGCCTGTGGAAATTAGTTCGAGAACTTACAGGTGAAAAGCACATCAGAATCGATAACCAGCTGAATGTTTGTACTTACATAGGTTTTTCACACGTCAGTGTTCTGATGTCATGCTTCCCATATATAAATACTTGAAGAACAACTGTCTTTCAATTTTTTACTGCAACGGATGTCCGGATAATCGTCTAGCTGTGTTCATACTTCTTGAGAAGAGAAAAGTACGATGAGCCTGCGGTAAAGTGCTCAACGTTTCCATTAACACAAAATGTGTCTTATGGAGCTGTTCTTTCTCTATTTCTTTCCACTGTTTTCTTGTATGCATACAAGTGGAAGATCATGATGTGTTCTTGTCCTTCATGAAAAAATTGTCAGTGGTTTCATACTTAACCCTTGTAAATATCAAAGTGTTACCTTTGGCCTGAGACAAAGAGCACCTAAACACCCTGTTGAAATCCCTTAAAGCTCTTACAGTTGGAGATGCTGCAATAAAAACAGCTTCCGAGGGTTTCTAACTTGATGTAGGTCTGTCCTTTGATCTCACCCGGTCTTCTCATGTTTTGTTGATATCGAAAAAGATTTTCTATTTAGTTTGCCTTAAAGAGACTGCATGCTTTTGGAATCACTGGACATTTACGTTTACAGTTTGTACATTCTTGAATACCGCCTACTATTCTTGACTGTTCGCCGTTATTCTTTCACGGGCTTTTGGGAAATACTGCTGTATTGCGGAGAGTGCTGAAGGCAGTTAGCTGGGTTTGTGGTGAATCCTTCAAGGCCATTATTAATATATGGTTGTGGATAGTCATCTGAAATCTTGTTAACTCTTGGCAGGTGTTATCCTATCAGATACTAAACAAACACCTCATTCATATCTTTCTCCCTGTATATCTTCTGGTAAAAAGAAACTCTAATGCTTTAGAACCTATGCACGCAAGCAAACGTATGAAGAACCCACAATACCTTGTCCACCAAATGTGTCACGTGGTGAACGGGTTGTTAATCTGACCTGGTCAATAACTTGTATCCTTAAACACGTTTCTAATTAAAAGTTGTGCGGATTTAAATCACAACAAATGCATTTCATCCAAGTCACTGTAGTTTTTCAGCTTAAATTCAAATATATGTATTCAGTTACCGCCTTTTTGCTCTGTTTTATAAAAAAATTGTTGAAATATTTTGTTTTGAGAATCACATGTTGTGTCAAACATATAATAATGAGCAATGCCATAAATAATAGTATGAACAATTTAGCGATAGTATGACATGGAGAGTAGCTTATGCGAAAAATATCACGAATTTGCAGTGCATATCAGCACTAGAGCTCGAAGTCTCTTCTTACACAAGGACTCTGAGCTAATTTGAGAATGGAGGGTGCAGATATATTTTTGAGTAGCGGTCCACTCAAAATGGTGTACACAACGTAGACGGACTTTATGTCATAAGAGGTGCTTAGCACGGCACACAAGAACGTGATCTAGTATGTACGCTTGATTAAGTGCCTGAACCTAGCCTTTGGCCACTTTTCGGAAAATTTCATCATGAAAAATGATAGGCTTCTGCGTGCGATATTTTGACAAGGTTAGTTCCTTAAAGTCTTTTCATTATAACAGCCCAATGTGGCCAAAGCTGTTCAAATCTCATACTTTTTACACAGTTTTCTAGGTGCAGTCACATGAAAATTATTCATCATATTTGGTTCTTAAAATAACTCCCTAAAACGTTGAGGCATTGTTCATACCTAGTCTTTTTTGCGTTGATAGAGAGATCTGTATGGGGCTGGGAAGCTGGAATAGTTAACTCACATGTGAAGATCATCAACTTAGATGATTTGTGTAGAATGATTAAGAGCGTACTCGAGGTAAACGGCAATGGTGTGACGATCTAGCCAACTTTGAAGTCGCACCTCACAGTCAGCACCTAACGTGGATTGCCCTTTTATCGTATCGAGGTAGTACGGATGCTTTGAAGGCCGCACAACACAAGGAACGTCACTAAAAGCGTGGGTCAGGTCATGGTGTGCTATTAATTGACACGCGTTGGTTGTTCTTGAACTTGACGAGAATCGGTGAATTATTCGACATCCGTGGACTCCACTGTCGGATGATCTGACCAGGGCCCATTGACAGTTCACTGGTCACACACATATCCAGAGCCCGAGTTCGTAGTTTTTAATTTTTGAGCTTTGCTTAAGTCTATGTATTTTTTATCCGCCATGTTATATGTGTCCACCTTGATAGTTTCGCTCTAGTCTAAAGGTCAGCTCATGCTGTTACTCGATTGTTCTTCGAGATTCGAAAGTTACCCATCTGTCGCTGACTGTCTATCTTAGGGAATCTGTCTAGCTTCGTTAATCAAGGCAATCGCCTGCAAAATCAGCAGACATGTAAAGCAACATGGTCTGGACAGCCAATATGGTAGTGGCTTATAATACCTCTTTATGCAGCCGGTGTGAGTCCGATGCACTCGTTTTGACACCGATTGCTGCAGTTGTCGCATCGCATTCTTTAATTCATAGGAAGGAAGCATATTTTGTTTGCGCCATTAAATTTGTTAGGTCAGGAGCGGAAATAACAAAGTAGAAGCTACGGGTTCTCGCGCACGTGTTACGTGTTGTCGAGGTTTTTAAATATCATTAGTTAGCAGCTGTTAACAGCATTTTTCTATCACACGTAAATTTTCGTAATGTTTGTTCGTTTTACATAGCTTTTATTCCAGTTAATTAGTGATTTGACACCCAACAATCCCATAACGACTGAAATATGGAATGTCCGCCTCTCGTCAGACCGTTCAAGGTCGTTGGAACAAAGCGGCGGGCGACTTTGAAAACGCCTGACTTTTTTCCGTACCTGAGTAAACTGTCACCTGTCACGTGGTAGACATTGAACAGAAAAGGCTAAAACGCCTGTTAATTTAACTAAAAGTCCAGCGCAAATAAGTCTAAAAGAAACCTTTTAACTTTAGGACAGTCAAAACGAAGAGATTTACATGACAAGGGTACGGTTTCGGGGCCACGTGTTATTCCTCTTGTATGTAAATGATCTTCCTCGCCTAATATCATCATCGGTGTCGCTTTATACTGACGATTTCAAGATATGGGAAGCGATCCGAAGTAAGGGTGATAGCTTAGAACTCCAAAATGACCTGGAGAAATAATCTGAATGGTCTAGACCTGGCAGTTGCCAATACATACTTCCAAGTGTGTTGTGATGCATATCGGTCATCAAGTTACAGATACATACACGATGGATAACACTGAGCTACCTGTTGCCCACATGACTTAGGAGTCATCGTTAGCCAAGACTTAAAGACTACTACAGACTGCCGTGCAATAACTGCTAAAGGTTTTTAAACTTTATTGACAGATAGTTCCCATTTAAAATTAAAACACGGATTTCAGCGAAGGGATCTCTTTTCAACGAATTTATCATCAAGCTGTACAGTCGTATATGTATGAAAATTTATTAACTGTGTTCACATTTCCTCACGGAATTAATACTTTTACAAAAACAATTTTCATATATGTACGATTGTACAGCTTGATAATAAATTTGTTGAAAAGAGATCCTTTCGCTGAAATTCGTGTTTTAATTTTAAAACTTTATGGTCAATACATAGGGCTTTTAATCATGTCGACGCTAAAACGTTTTTGACTTTGTATAAAGTGTTCGTACGTCCTAAACTTGAGTACTGCAGACAGGCGGATAGCCCCTGCTTAAAAAAAGACAGTCAACTTTTGGAAAAGGTCCATAGAACAGCTGATTCTCGAAATAGCGAAGCTCTCGTATGATGCTCGACTGGTGAAGCTAAACCTATTCCCGTTGTTATATTGAAGAATTAGGGGCGACTTGATTACAGTTTTCAAATTGCTTAGTGATAAATTTGCACCTGATATGCCCTCATTTTTCTTGTCTTCCAAAACAGAGAATTTACGAGGACACTCCAAAAAGTTCATAAGCTCAGGACAAATTACTTGTCAGTTGACTATCGACTTTCCCATCGAATCACCAACGAGTGGAATTCATTACCTCAGCACGTGGTTGGGGCTCCATTCGTCGACTCTTTCAAAAGGAAGTTGGGTCAACTGAGAGACCACCATTGCCAGGACTAACACAGGCTATCAAGCCTCCTGTCCTTAACAAACTGAAACTGAAACGAGGAGAAATACCAATCCCAGTTTAAAGTGCAATAATCCTAGGACTGGGTTGAACTATCTTATTCTAGTTTGCATTGTCATCTAGGTCTTGTGTTATTTTTGGTTTTTGTTTGTTGCTTGCCTCAACAAATTCAAATGTATTGTGTGCTTCTGCTGGGTCATCGAGTCGTCCTTCACCATTGTTCTCTTTTCAAGCACTCCACTCATGCTGCTGTGCATGCTCCCCTGGTGCTCAAGATACTTGGCTAGACTCGACCTGCTACATTCGTGGCGGGCATGTAAGGGCCTTACTGGTTAGAAGTCTATGATGCGGTGCAGACTTATTACGAGCCCTAATTAAGGCACTACAAACACTTAAACAGTGCTTTGTCAAAAGTGCTAGTTATGTAGAGGATTAAACTGTCTGAAAATTCTACACCTATATTTTTACTTAGATTTATCATACTGCCGAAAAACAGCAAAAACTTAGAGTTTTGGTTTCTTTGTAGGTACAGAGTTTTTGAGCTGGAACTATGTTACAAAAGGAATAAACAGACTTGAGACACTGTATATAGACTCAAGACCTGGATTCAGTTCCTTACCTTGATTAAAACTCGAATTTCTAAACATGTACCTTTCCCGTTTAATGTTAAAAATAACTCATGAAAAGGTTCGTTACTCATCATGAAAAGACTTATCTCTTGTAAGTTTACCACTTGAAAATCGCAAATTGTTTCATAGAAACAAAGTTTTGCGACTGACTAACATACTACTCAAGTTTATTTGAAATTTTCAATGTTCTCTATAGACTACTTCCGTAAACGTACCCCTTTTTCTAAGCCTAACTCACATGGAGCAGGTTCGTGATTCATCTTCGATTTCTCTAGCCCTTGTAATCTTAACACTTGCCGACAGATCTATTTGCTTAGTCTGACTTCGAATATGTAGTAATCTGGAATACTGTAATAGATCCACACGGCTGGTTCGTCGCCTGTCTAGAAGTAAATAAAAGACAAAAACCAAGATTAGGAACATGTTTATCGATTCAAACAAATTTTAAGATCAAAATCAGCAAGTATTTGCTACTTTAAGCTTTAGCTTTTCAGTCTAGAAACTGCATTTCGAGCTGAAAAGCCACTGGTTCGTAACCTGCATATCCACTTTACCTTAATCAACCAGGTCGCATCTCTATAAAGATACAGATAGAAACTTCACACAAGTAGTAATTAAAACCTAAATAAACCTGCTCTTTTCCAACAAGTAAAAGTAAAGTAAATCAGAGTAGCCATATTGTTTTTCCAGATTCTTATTTTAAAGTGGCTAATATCATAAGTTGAGATCTATGATCGGTGTTTGCTTTAGGTGTCCGGATAGCACAGTTAACTCGGATGAAATATCGCTCACATACGCGTATGTTGACTTTTGATTGTATGATTTGAAATATTATTGTCTTTCATTTATCTTAAACTAGGGTAGAGTGTCCTATTTCTTCTTAACAGTAAGCCTAAATTGTAAACTAGATGCGTATGCAAACCGTAGTCAATGTCTCTAGTACATTTCACCGATATATTATTGTAATTAATAGTATCGGTAACTAGCCTATGGGATCCAATGACCTGATTAATATTGTCTTTCAGGTTTGTAAAACAATGCAAAATGAGATCAGGTTTGCTCTTAATTTCATTCACAACTGTAAAAAAGCAACAGGAAAAAGATTGTGGGTAATGTCGAAATATTCATCGGAACACATAAATCTTATTATAGCACCACTATTTTTGTCAGCGTAATTTTGCCAGTGTTCTTGGTATAGAAACGAGCTGTGACGATACAGGTGCAGCTGTTATAGAAACATCAGGAAAACTACTTGGAGATTGTCTATCTTCGCAAGCGAGGATTAGTGTTATGTAACGAAAAGAATCATTAATCATTAAATATTTTTGAAGGTTAGGTGGTGTAGTACCGTCCGTAGCAGCTGAACTTCACAAGGAAAACATTGAATCAGTTGTAAATACTGCTATGGCCAAATCCAACATTGGGTTCCGGGTATTTTTGTTCATGGTTATTTTTTAATTGATCTATCTTTTGCTCTAGGATTTAAATTTTGTTGCAGTTACAGTAAAACCAGGTATGCCACTATCTCTAAAAATTGGAGTTAGTTTCGCTAAATCTTTAGCAAGTCGATTAAAGTAGTTTTAATTTCTTTGTTGACGAATTATTTATTTGTCAAAGGATTCCTATCATACCGATTGATCATATGGAGGCTCATGCACTGACAGCTCTGTTTACAGATCCTCAGTAAGCAAAAATTTTCTGTGCAAATGAATCATAGTTTATGTACGGAAATAGCGTATTTAACATTTCCAGTTGCTCTCGTGTAAAACCAAAAATCCTAGAAGTTAATTACTACTTATTGTTAAATGTAATAAGTATAGTCTGAGCATAATTTGATCAGCGATGTGTAATTTCTATTCTCTCTGTGAATTACTAAACAAGATATCTAATTAAATGCTTCAACATGATATTTAGAAGTATCGTTGGTCATAGATTTATGATGCAACGAAACCTTTAGAAAGATACTGTAAAAAACTGCCATCTCTGGTGTTTACTCAAATTATAAGTCAGTTTTTTTTCTTATTTGAAACTAAGCATATCATGAGCTTTTTGATTTAGATCATGAACCGATTGATGTTAGACCACCATTGAAAACCTGGAAGCACTGAACAGCCGTTTCGTCCTATTGTGGCACTCCTCAGCAGTGCGCATCCGCGATCCCGCTCGCACTTATGATTATCATGGCTGCTAGGACTTGCTATCTTTCGTTCTCAAGCAAAATATTTTGTAGAATAATGGAATAATGTATATAAAAAGGTTTTCTAAATAACTGATTTAGAGCAAATAGTATTTATCTCATTGTTTCATGACGTTTATAAATTCTTTTTAAAAAACGTCTTAGGTTGAAATTTCCCTATATGATCCTCTTAATAAGTGGTGGTCACAGTATTTTGGGCATTGTTCAAGGGTTAGAGGATTACGTTTTATTAGGTACAGCATTAGATGCCTCTCCAGGCGATATTCTTGATAAGGTGAGTTAAATATGTTTGTCTGATTTTACTTTCACATCGTAACTTATATATTTTATCGATTGCGGCTTTATATTTTCAAAAAATGAGTAACTAAATTTAGTTTTTGATACTGCCTAAATCGAGGGGTTCAGGTTACCACTGACAAGCTGGCAAACTGAAAACCTGTATTACACTCCAAATTCACTTACTGCATATCAGCATTGTGAAGAACATGATGGTGTCACAGGTATTCAGTGTTTGACAACGCTTCTACCAGTAACACCGCTACAAGCACTAAAGTAATGTTACTGGTAGTATGTGAGGTTTAAGTCTTCTCCGTTTGACTCTACCATATATCCCGCTGAGTAGTATTATCTCACTTGAGATTATTCAAAAGCCAAAACACCAGTTGTTGGGAAAGTGTATTGTCGGTAATTAAACCCACAAGTACCCAAGACACAAAGCACACTGTGTAATCAAAATGTAGGAATATTCATATGTATTTTATGAGTGTTGATCAATTGTAGGTAAGTTACTAATTTATTTTCAATTAGTTTTTCATCATGGCTCTACACTAATATATATATGGTGGTGAATCAGTTGAGTAGGTTGTGAATCTTCATCGACTGGGATGATTGTACCGCGTGTTACGTATGCCTGACCACCGTTTATCACGACGCGTAATGCTGACTAGTGTTGGAGACGGCTGGAAGAAAGTTAGGGCGGCCAAACCGAAACGTGGCATCAGCCTTTGAAGTCACTAACTTCTCGTCTGGGCCATATCAGTAAATGTAGACTACTTGGTCGGGCTCCGCGTGACTATTGTAACAAATGGTTGGAGACTCTGGGTGACATGGCTCAGAATCGATCACAATGGCGTAGGTGTATACACTCTGTCTTCCCTTAAACTAAGAGATTAAAATCGCTTCATATCTTTCTTTCTACGGACTAATTCTTTCTTCCTGTACTATATCCTTATATATTACCACGATTGAAGTAACTACTTCTATAAATTCGGTGTTCATTTTGTCGTGCTAATGAAGTATGGCAACTTGGATCGATGCATATATGTGCCTGGTCATACGTTGTAGCTGACTGACTGAATTTCTCGAAAAGCATTTTTAGATGAATTTGATGTTCACTTTTATCTTTACTGACTATGAGTAAGTCGTCTATTTAAGTTTATTACTCGATCAATAAAACTCTGGAAACTTTGTCCAGGATTTCTGAGTTCCAAAGACATGCGGACAAATTTGTATAGCCCGAATGGAGCAGTAATAGCGGTTTTCGGAATGTGGTCTGGGTGGATTGGAATGTAATGATATGCATGAACGAGATCAACCTTTGAGAAAGTCGTAACATCAGATAGACTATGAGTAGTCATGTAAGTTTGGAGGAGGGTATCTCTCTGGTATCGTCCAGCTGTTAAGAACTCTATGGTCGCCGCAAGGTCAGAAGAGTTCTTAGGTATCACATGGGGCAGTGATGTCCAAGGACTACTGGGGGGACTTATTGAACCCAACTCTATCATCTTGTTGAATTCGTTCTTTACGAGAGCGGTCAAGGAGATGCAGACACTGGTAGTCCCTCTGTCCTAATATGGCGTACGACAGTATCTGTCGGTTTGTTACGTTTGGAAGTCGTTTGTAACAAATCAGGAAAGTGATTGAGAAAATTGGTATATTCATCATTCTCGCGATGAGGTTTGATTAATGTCTCGTGATATAAGTCTTCTAATTTCATCGTTATGATTTGTAGATACAAGTTTCCGGTTTCTAACATCTACGAGTATTTTTCGGAATTGTAAAATATCGACACCGATTATGGGAACTAAGACGTCAGCTAAGTTCCATAAGAAATTTAATTTGAGACCAAAATGTAACCATAGCTGCCTGCTACTGTATGTCTTGATTTCCGTCCTGTTTGCAACTTGCGGTTCTAGTTTGCGGTCAGGTGTGATTTTCTCAAGTGTAGTATATGGTACTACATCAAAATTTGCCCCAGTGCTGATTAAGAACTGTGTTCTGATTCTTTTATCTGAGACGTATAACAAACAACTTTCTTGAGAGTTGGGGCGATGACAACAATCGTTGGTTTTAACGTTTCCCTACCGTGTGTCCACAAAGTTACAAGGACGGGTACATTCTTTCTCTTGATCGCTATAATTTCTGTGACACCAACATATGCTCTTGGCTGCTCCTTGGACTACGGGGTGCACGGCTTCCGGTTCTCCGTCTACACCTGCAGCGAGGCGTATTTCAATTATGAAGCTGAGCCATCTGATTGACGAGGACTTCGGCTGTTTGTCTCAACTCTGTGATCTCGTTGGTTGAGTCTGTGTATGATACGGAGTGGATCTTAGTCTGCCCGTGTATTTTATCGGTTATATCTGCTAGTCTATCGAAATCGACGTTTTCGTCTTCAATCGCTAATATTTGTTGAATATTTTGAGGAAGACGTTGAAGTCATAACTGATATAACAGGCATTTATCCAAAAGACGATTACTCAATATAATTGTGTTGCGTCTTAAGTATGACGGTTCACTATCACCTTGTCTTAAACTATCGTATGGTGCTTTTAGATCTGAGTCGCACCCTCTCTATAACCAAGTCCATAGAGTCCCAAAGGAACATGTGTTAGTCCCATGCGGCTGTCTTTTATACTACGACACGATATCATACTCTAACTCTCTACCCCCTTTTCAATCAATCCTAGCACAATAGTGGACAATCTATAATTCACTGGGATGACTTTTGTGATGCATAATTACACCGCCGACACCAGTGTTTCGAGATCATGACACTAAATGAATTATCGTCTCACAGATACTGACCGTTGTAGCTTGGTAAAATACTGTTATTATTATTTATTACATCCTGTAGGTAAAACTGATTACTTACCCTCGTATAACTAAACATGGATTAATACGACTCGATACAAGGATTGCTAGACTAGAAAATCTATGTATACTCGACTTATCGACGCACTACAGTTTCTACTACTGATTCACTACCAGTTCAATAAATATGTTAAAATACACTGAGTAATATGTCATTTGCTTATCTGGTCAGTTGTTATATTTAACACATAGCATTAATTAGTGGCCCGATACAGATATCCAATTTTTATCAATATATCAAACTGCATTAACTGATAATTATAAATAAGTTACCGAGTTCTTTATTTTCATTCTCCCCAACACTGGTAGGTTACTGAACAAATTGATCAAGATTGTGGTGCTAGCTCAACCATATACATATCGTAGAGGCAATATGTTACTGCTCAAAAGTTTTAAGTCACTAGGCGAAAAATAATCTCAGCTTGTACATTTTCTGGATATTTGTTCAGTGCATTTCAACAAATTTAGACTTAAGATCTAACCATCTGAGTAGTATAGGCTGAATTGTAAAAAGCTTTCGTAAAGTTGTTGATTGTTTTCACTAACCAAATATAATGGCCATTAATACGTGCGTTACGTTGTTGTTGCTGTTGTCGTCGTCAATGCCTCAAAATGGAACGATCCGTGTATTTTTTGCATTTACAGATTTCTAGGCGTCTAAAACTAAATCGTTTGTCAGATGAGTGTTTGAAAGGCGTCGCAGGTGGTAAGGCTATCGAAATAATTGCAAAGACTTATAATGGTGATCATCAACGATTCAACCTACCTTTACCACGTTCACAATCTAAGGATTGTGATTTCTCATTTAGTGGAATCCATGTGGCTGCAGAACAATTGATCAATAAATTGGAATCTGAAAATCATGGTACGTGAGTGGTTTGTTAAACAAATATATATTACTTTTTATTGATCTACTTTACCATACTTCCGTTAAGAAAGTTCTAGCAAAGTATTTATCTCTGAGTAATATCGCTCAAAATCAAAAAAAAGAAAAGACGAACGAGGTCGTTGACTTTGTTTACATCTCACTTCACTGAATATCATAAGATATAATTAGGCTTGTTAAAAACTAAATATTCGTTCTAGTTATTGTAACATATATATATTTCCCAACATGAAACAATGAAAAATTAGACTTAAACTTTGTTTTAAAATCTTATACTTCCGAAGTTTTACTAACTACCATTTCATTCTCTTCATAGACAAATAAGTGTATTTATTTATTTGAACACATAAATATTGGTACAAAGGGGCACCGAATAGATATGCGCCACACAAGTTACTTGATTTATGTGTAGGCTGTGATACTGCCCAGGTGCCCAGACCGAAGCAGGTGGTTTTCTTAGGGGGTCACGCCCGGAGCATTTGACTTAAAGGTCTGATCCACAAGGCAGTAGAGCAACGTCAAGAGATACAACCCCATTGTAGCTGGTGACCAACAATGTTTTCATACGCTTTTCGTTTACTCAGGATCCTGGAGCCCATGTGCATATATATATATATATATATAATAAAAGCTCAATGCTGTCACTACTACGAGTAGTTTACTTACTGACCTGTTCTATCTCTATGTACCACTGATGATGAGGGATATTTTTAAGTATTGTTATATCAGTCAGTCAGTCAGTAACAACGTAGAACTTCGTACGTACGTACATCAGTTCGAGTTGCCACACCACATTAGCATAGAGATACAGTTGTCGATTCAAATCCCGTAGTGGTAGAGGTAATAAGAGTGTAGGCAGTAATCGGGAAGACTAGGATTTGGAGATGTTATTTAAAGAGTATAATCCTGTGAAATAAATTTGGAAAGAGGAAAAAAGGGACATGAAGAATTCAGAAGATTAGAATTTGAGAGAACACAGAAAGTGGATGCACCTGCGCCATTGCAAACGATTTTGAGCCATGTCATTCAGGGTCTCTAACCATCGGTTGCTATCATCTCGCGGTCCCCAACCAGGTAGTCTACACCTACCCACACGACTCAGTCCACTTGTCAGTGACTTCATGGAGTTGTGCCATGTTTTGGTTTGGCCGCCCCTAGCTTTCTTCCAACCTACTCCTATACCACTGAACATAGCACGTCGAGGCAGTCGGTCGTTGGGCATACGTAACACGTGTCCCAGCCATCTCAACTGATGAAGTTTCACTACGTCATCAATTGATTTGCCATCCTTACCTAGTACCCGTTTCCTAACAACTGCGTTACTTACTCGATGGTCTCAGGATATACGAGCAATGTTTCGAAGACAACTATGATCGAATACTAGTAACCTACGAATACCCTCTGCTCGCATCGGCCACGTTTCACTGCCATAAACTAGAACGGAACGAACTGCTGTGCGGTAAACACGTCCTTTGGTTGATAGACGGATATCTCGCCTACGCCATAAATGACGCAAGTTGGTAAAAGCTAATCGACCTTTCTGTATCCGTGCTGAGATTTCGTCACACACCAGACCACAAGGGTTGATGAGACTTCCAAGATAAGTGAAGCGACCGACACGCTCAATTACTTCACTCCCTATCATTAGTTCGGGTGTCAATGCAACCCAGTCCTGAAGCAACATTTTGCATTTCGAGGGAGAGAATCGCATCCCGAACATGCTTGCATTGTTGCTTAGAGTGGTCAGAAGACTGCATTTTGTCAGCGTCTTGTTATATGGATAAAATTCATTCAATCATTCTAAGGGATGGTCCTTCTATTAATAAGGGCTTAATCAATTATACAGACTAGATGTAGTACTGAGTTTAATAAATCAATTCTAGAGTTATTTTCTGTAGGAAAAAATAAAACTTTAGTTTAGTTCTCATAAAGTTCATGCTTGAAATGTGTTTATTCATTGCTGATTGATCTGAGTGCTAAGCTTCTAAGAATTCTCTGGTGCTTTTAGTATTTCCAAAATTTCAACATTTTCCCAATCGATTGTGTGTCCACATTTATTCACATGAATTGATGCCCCCAATTGCCCTGGTACGGCCAAGAATGGGGAGAGGCAGCTCTCTCTCTCCAAATGCTCTCACATGGCCACGTGCATACAACCATTACCAGGGAAGTCCTACTCACTGCCTTCTCGCAATGGGGTGTTGTTTACGAAATTGAGAGGACAATGAGCGGATTCCGGCGCTTTAACTGGGTTGGTAGATACAAAGAGTCCACCTAGGGGAGTTGGAAAACCCTGATTTCAAACCAATGGTGCACATGGGCTCCAGTATCCCGAGGGAACAAATGGCGTATAAACCAATCGTTGGTCACTGGCTACCATGGGAGTGCATCTTCTGACGTTGCTCCACTGCCTTGTGGATTGGACCTTCAGGTCGAAGACTCCGGGTGTGGCCTCCTAAGAAAACCAGCTGCTTCGGTTTGGGCACCCATACAGTGTCCCAACCCTCACATAAATCGACTGATTTATGTGGGGTATATCTATTTGGTGCCTCCTTGTACCAATATTTATGTTTAAATGAATAAATAAACATGCATTGATTTAAGCGAGGATATTGTTATATCCGGTGAAGATTAAACTACAGGTAAATTCCAAGGACTATTCATGGACTAATATTCTATAAATATTCTTACTGTATAACTACTCAACAATTACACTATGGATATTTATATTCCTTTTATGATAAGCTTTATTTTGATCTATAATTTATTATTGTACGATTTACGGTTCTTAAGTTATGTTCAGTTTATTAACTACTGCCTCCCTCATTCACAGCCACTTTTTGGGCTTATTTGTGTATAAATATTATTTCCTATTTTATGGTACGTTGCGGTCTGTATGGTTGATATATAAACCGAGTATGTTTGAAATAAACGATCTGCTCTGATTCGGAAGCTGGTATTTTGTTCTGGACTCAAGTGGAAGGGCTCGTAGGACATAGGACCAATAAGGACGCTAGACTGCCCACGCCGGTTGAACGTCATTGGTTGGCCTAGTGTGAAGATCCGTATAAGTCGTATTCGGATTGGTAGATAAATCGCGTGATAAGAAAGTCAGACACCCAAGGTCATAACAATTGGCGACGGGGATTTTGGCAACAAATAATAATAATACAATAAGTGGTGACTCAGATTTTGGAAATAAATTAGCTGTTATAATTGCCGGTGTTTTTTTTGGAGTTAATATTATTATTGTCAGTAAAAAAAATGTCGATTTCCTTAGAACAGTTGCAGTTATTATTACAACAACAGCAGCAGCAGATGTTAGCTTCTCAACAGAGACTCTTGGAAACACTTTTGGGGAAACTATCTATCCAACAAGAGATTCCAGAACATAAAAGTATCGAGTCATACCTTAATCCAGTTTCAGAATTTATATTTGATGCAGACAATGGTCACACTTTTGAAGCATGGTTTGGCAGAATTGAAGATATTTTCCGAGTTGAATTTGCTGCTATAGATGATGCAAAGAAAGTCCGGCTGCTATTACAGAAACTTGGTCCTAATGAGCATCAAAAGTATAAAAACCATATTCTGCCTAAACATCCGCGAGAAGTTAATTTCGATGAAACTGTTAACATCCTAAATAAAATGTTTTGTGAACAGTCGTCTTTATTCCGTATCCGATATAACTGTCTACAGCTGACTAAAGAGGCTGATGAAGATTATACTACGTACGCCGGAAGAGTAAATTTACAAGCAGAACGATTTAAATTAAATGTATTAACCAGTGATCAATTTAAATGCTTATTATTTATTTCTGGTCTGAACTCTCCTGTTGATGCTGACTTTCGCATGAAGTTGTTATCCCGTATGGAACATGATGATGAAATGACGTTACAAACTATCACCACTGAATGTCAACGATTAATAAACCTAAAACAAGATACAGCTATGCTGGAAACCAAAAGTGTTGTGCCCTCAAATTCTGTTCATGCTGTTAAGACAGGTCAAAGACAAAACAGTACCAAAAGTCATAAATATTACTCGAAAACTCCTAAACCTGCAACTAAATGTTGGTATTGTGGTGCGTGGCATTTCTCAAGATTTTGCCGATTTAGAAATCATAGATGCACTATATGCAATAAAGTTGGCCACAAAGAATTAGTCTGCCGAACTAGAGAAAGTTTAAGATCAAAACGAACCAGACGTCCGCACCAGTACGAAAATAAGTATATAAACAGCGTATATTCTACACTGGCTCTAAGCGTAGCGAATAAAAGAAGATATGTGGAATTAATTGTTAATGGTGCTTATATTCGACTGCAATTGGACACAGCGTCAGATATCACACTAATCTCGAAACGAACATGGTATTTAATTGGGTGTCCGAAAGTATTACCAACAGAACACACTGCGCGGAATGCGTCCGGAGATATATTGAAACTTGTGGGAATGATAAAATGCTCTGTTAAATTCCGAGGTAATTACTTTACAGGAAATTGTTACTTAACGAACAGACATGAGTTAGACCTTATTGGTATAGACTGGATAGATAAACTAAATTTATGGGATGTACCATTAAATGAAATATGCACAATGAAAGGCGCAAATAATCCTAGAGATCCACCCGCAGTTCATGTAACCAAGAAAGTCGTAACGATAGAAGATCTTTTGCAGAAACATAAAAACTTGTTCCAGAATAAATTGGGATGCTGCACAATTGAGAAGGCAAAATTATACCTACGACAGGATGTAAAACCTGTTTTCCGTCCAAAGCGTCAAGTTCCATATGCAGCTATTGACAAAGTCGACAAAGAATTAGACCGACTAGAGAAACTCGGTGTTATACAACCTGTTAATTATTCGGCATGGGCAGCACCAATTGTAGTAGTTCAGAAAGCGAGCGGAGCTATTCGCCTTTGTGCAGACTTTTCAACAGGATTAAATGACGTTTTACAAAATCATTCATACCCATTACCTTTGCCAGAGGATTTATTTATTAAACTAAACGGTGGACGTTATTTTTCTAAACTTGATTTGTCTGAAGCTTACTTACAGGTGGAAGTTGACGAAGATTCAAAGGAGTTATTAACCATTAATACCCACCGTGGACTTTATCGATTTAACCGATTACCGTTTGGTGTTAAGCCAGCTCCAGCAATTTTCCAGCAGATAATGGATACTATGGTGTCTAACATCGAAGGTGTAGCAGTTTATTTGGATGATATTATAGTTGTTGGCTCTTCCGCGCAGGAATTAATGCGTCGGTTAGATGTGGTGCTCACTAAAATATCACAAGCTGGGTTTCAGTTACAAAAAGAAAAGTGTGAATTTCTTCTTGAGTCTGTTAAATACCTGGGATATATATTTGATAAAGATAGTCGTCGACCGGATCCAGACAATATAAATGCTATCAAAAATATGCCCAGACCGACTGAGGTTACAACCCTTCGTTCATTCTTGGGGATGATTGGTTATTATAGTATGTTCGTACCCCAGATGTATAAATTGCGACAACCATTAAATCAGCTCTTGATGGCTAATACAACATGGCACTGGACGAAAGAATGCCAAGATTCTTTCGATGAAATAAAAAGGATTTTATCTTCTAAACTATTGCTGACTCATTATAATCCAAAGCTTGAAATAATTGTAGCCGCCGATGCTTCAAACTATGGAATTGGAGCCGTTATCAGTCATCGTTTTCCTGATGGTAAAGAAAAGCCAATTGCTCATGCATCCCGAACTCTTAACTCAGCCGAACGAAAATATAGTCAGATTGAGAAGGAAGGATTAGCTTTAGTTTTTGCAGTAAAGAAATTTCATAAAATGATTTATGGTCGTCGATTTACGCTTTTAACAGACCACAAGCCGCTTTTATCTATATTTGGATCAAAGTCAGGTATTCCTGCTTATACAGCGAATCGGTTACAACGCTGGGCTATTACGTTGCTTGCTTATGACTTCCAAATCCTATATAAATCAACTGAAAAGTTTGGACAAGCCGATGCTTTATCTAGATTAATTGCTAATCAGAAGCAGAAAAGTGAAGATTCTATTATTGCAACGATATCGTTGGAGAATGATGTTCACCATATACTACAAGTTGCCATAAAAGCAACACCGTTATCCTGTGAAGACATTAAACGTTATACTCAAGAAGATGATGAATTGAAGCAAATTATTAGATACCTCGAGCATGGTTGGCCTACCCATATAGACGACAAAAATATTGAACAGTATTCCCACCGTCGGAATTCCCTATCACTTGTGGATGGATGCTTGATGTTTGGGAATCGAGTAATCGTACCCATAAATTTACGCCGTAAGGTGATGTCACAACTGCATGCCGCACACCCAGGAGTAGCAAGGATGAAGGCACTTGCACGTGGATATGTATATTGGCCGAATATTGACGCTCAGATCAAAGAGTATGTTGAGACATGTTCTGCGTGTGCAAAAGCTATCAAAGCCCCTCGTAAGACAGAAATGCAGAGTTGGGGGACACCAACAAATCCATGGTCAAGAGTACACGTAGATTTCGCCGGTCCCATAAACGGAAAACAGTACTTAGTGATGGTTGATGCTTTCTCAAAATGGCCAGAAATCCATTACGTAAAGTCTCTTTCTACAAAAGCTACTATTGAAAAACTGAGACAAGTATTTAGCTGCTTTGGGTGTCCAGATGTATTAGTATCTGATAATGGGCCACAATTCACCTCCGCTGAATTCTCGAACTTCTGCGTCGCCAACGCTGTTAGGCATATAAAGACACCCCCATATCATCCACAGTCAAACGGTCTAGTTGAGAGGTTCGTAGATACATTTAAAAGAGCACTACTTAAAGCCGAGGGAGAAGGTGAAATAGACGAGATGATTCAAAGGTTTCTACAGACATACCGAGCAACACCAAACCCAACAACAAATAATGAAGAAAGCCCAGCAGAAGCAATTTTTGGGAGAAAAATTAGAATACCTATGGAGCAAATGAAACCAAAGCTTAGAGCCAACCTCCGAAAGAACAAACGAATGGAACAGCAATTCAACAAGCGGCACGGTGCATTACCCAGAATGTTTAAGGTGGGACAAGCGGTAATAACAAGAGATTTCACGGGAGTAAAGCCAACTTGGAAGTTTGGCATAATAATACGAAAAAAAGGGAAAGTTATCTACGAAGTAAAAGTTGGAAAAAAGATATGGGTGAGACATGCAAACCAGATACAACCAACCAGACAAGAACGAGGGATAGAAAATGCTACAAAGTCGAATATACCAATAAATATATTAACTGAGTCGAATAATGAAATTAAAAATGATCCGAATAATAACAAGACGTGTGAAACACTCCCAAGGAGGTCGCAGCGCATCAGACGAAAACCCAATCGAATAAAAATAAATCCTAAGGATCATTATTATCTCTAATGCTTCAAAAAAAAAGGGGGAGGTGTTATATCCGGTGAAGATTAAACTACAGGTAAATTCCAAGGACTATTCATGGACTAATATTCTATAAATATTCTTACTGTATAACTACTCAACAATTACACTATGGATATTTATATTCCTTTTATGATAAGCTTTATTTTGATCTATAATTTATTATTGTACGATTTACGGTTCTTAAGTTATGTTCAGTTTATTAACTACTGCCTCCCTCATTCACAGCCACTTTTTGGGCTTATTTGTGTATAAATATTATTTCCTATTTTATGGTACGTTGCGGTCTGTATGGTTGATATATAAACCGAGTATGTTTGAAATAAACGATCTGCTCTGATTCGGAAGCTGGTATTTTGTTCTGGACTCAAGTGGAAGGGCTCGTAGGACATAGGACCAATAAGGACGCTAGACTGCCCACGCCGGTTGAACGTCATTGGTTGGCCTAGTGTGAAGATCCGTATAAGTCGTATTCGGATTGGTAGATAAATCGCGTGATAAGAAAGTCAGACACCCAAGGTCATAACAGATATGCCATGGCGTTTGACCACCAACTGACATTCAAACAGGGAAAGATAAAGAGAGCATCGACGTTGTCCGATATAGGGTTTTTTGCTATTGTAGCAGCTGATTTTATGGTTGATGTTAAGTTTTCCTTCTGTAGTCGTTTCGTCCTTTGGTTTGTGTAGGACTGATTGAAGTGTTCATCTGGACACGCATAACTGAAGTGATCATATTGTGTAAAATACGTGGAGTGGTAGCTAGCTTTCTGCTACTAGACTATAGATTCGGACCCCACCCTATCTACTTTGGTTTGGACAACTGGCTAGGGTTACTAGCTACTCAGAACGAAGCTTGAAGTCTCAAATCTGGTACATGGTAATTGAGTATGCACAATACAAGGCCACAAATAATAAACCTCATGAAACAAAACTAGAATCCTCTTGATGTAAAACTGAGTAACATATTCATAGTTACTGGATTGGAATGTGATCGGTTAAGGAAATAATTGAACAATATTCTATAATTAAGTCTCTTTAAAAATGCTATAAAACTACTGTTCGGTTGGTACCTATTTAAAATAAGGATGCAAATCTGTTACCAGAGAATATTTTCTCCTTACTATTATTATTTCTTTTCCATCATCTTGGTGACATTTTTACTGTATTGGGTTTCTTTCGGTTATGAAAATTCTAGGTAATGGATGCACTTTATCGACCCAAGATATTGCTGATGTTTGTGCATCTGTACAGTTCTGTATGACAAGATTAATCTGTCGGCGTGTTCAGCGTGCTGTTGAATACTGTTTGTTGAACACTGATTCCAGAGCCAGTGTAATTAGAAATCATCCTACAGCTTTGGTAAGACATGTGTTTCATTAAACCATCAGTTGTGTTTGTTTTATAGTCATTATTTCCTTATGCCCGATTAATTTACATAACGTGGTACGGCCGCCAATCAATGCCACCGACTTATACGACCAGACTAATGACGCATAAATTAGTGCGAGCAGCCTAGAGTTCCTGTTGATCCTATATGATAGTAGCTTCTCTCCTAACCCCAGTCGGTTCAGGTCAGAACGCCATTATCAGCCTCCGCTAGACGAATCATACATTTCACACATACTGGTTTTATATATAAGCCAAACAAACCACATCATACCATAAGTAAAAATAACAATTATAAAAGATCAAGCCAAAAACTAGCTGTGATTGTGAGATACTGTAACTAATAAGTTGGGAATATCTTAAGAATAGTAAATTACATAATAGTAGTCAAATAAAAGGTTATAATAAAATGAATATGAATATACATATAATATAGTTACTTAGTAGTAGTTATACAATAAGAATATATATAATAACAGTCCATAAATAGATCCTAGCCGTTACTATTCACTTATTCGTCGCCCGGATATAACAGTCATCAACGTTTTTTTGCAGTATTAGTGAATAACAAGTTTTTCGGTCTGAAAATTTTAGGTTTCACTTAATTGTTGGAATGTTATGATTCTTTTAATTCATTTCAAAAAATTATGCACCATGAACCAACCAGTTACTTAGTAATTTTCTGTATATGATTTAAGAAATTAACTTTTGTTTGTGAGTCTTATGTTGGTTAGGTGGGTAAACGTAATTCGATGATGATCTTCCTCATATAAATTGTTTTTTAACTAGATCAATGGTACGGAACTGATTTTCAGCATTACAACTCTGTTTTCCACAATGCTTTCGTTGCTAATTCGCAATTTGTACACCAACGGAATAGGTGCTCTAGTTGGGTGTCTAAATGTGGCCAGTACAGATACCTTCGTGTTAGCGCTTTCATCCGATTGTTTCCAATATGTTCTGCGTGCAACTGTTCAACTGCTGGTTGCAGCTTCTTTGGAATTATGACACGGTTGGCAAATGAAAGGCAGTCATCAATGATTGAGAGAGATAGCTTGCGCTGGCAAAGCAGCTGTAGCTCTGTGGAGCTAATCTTTGATGACCACCCTTCTAGGTGGAACTTTCTAATTTTTTGTAGGATTGGGTTTTAAAGGGTTTCTTCTATGACTTCATCTGATAACATTGGAGTGTTTTGAATGGCATCTACTACTACACGCTTTGTTTTTGGATTTAAAGCAACGGAAACATGAATTGCTTAGTTTGTCCCGTTGTTCTGTTTCTGATTTATCAGAGGAATATATATATATATATATATATATATATATATATATATATATATATATATATATATATTCTTTAACTGCTCTATAGGGTCGTCATTGAGAAATGGAGTTTACAATCCTTTTATCATGTTTGTTTATAGCCTGCTGGTTCAAAAAGAACCCATCCTAACACTGTCCTAATAACATAAGGACTCTTTCTTCAGTCCGTCCGTTGATCCAGGATACAATGGGTCCAGGACGTACCTGAAGCCCAGATAAGCTTCGGTATTTTTCTAAATTCCCTATTCCTTAAGAGCGAAAGACCTTCAATCCAGGTCTTTAAATCTAATTCCTTGTGTGTACCTCGTGACAGCACTAGCACTCAGGTGCTGGTGGTCCCAATCAATATGCGACCTACAAAGGTTCTGTAAGAGTTGCCCGGCAGGGAATTATATTGGGGCGATTAGGCCTAGTGGGTCGAACAGAGATGAAACGGTGAATAGAATTCTTCTCCTTTTTAGAGGGTTTTCCTCTGGTTCAAATCGAAATTTAGAAACATCGTGCATAGCGTCCCACTCAATCCGAAGGGCTCGATGAGTGGACAGTTGATTCAAAGGCATATTCATTATCGTTTCCATACTATCGGATTGCGGAAAAACTTGTCTTACCAGTTCTAAGTTAATTAACTCCCTCGATTTGTTGCCGTTCCTATTGTAAATTTACAACAACATATATAAGCGAACAATATTGTTTTCGATTAGATCCTCATCAGGCTTTACTCTAATATACAGTAATATTTATATGCATATACGAAATTATAAACTACCTTGATTGGTTTAATAATTTCGTATATGCATATAAATATTACTGTATATTAGAGTAAAGCCTGATGAGGATCTAATCGAAAACAATATTGTTCGCTTATATATGTTGTTCCTATTGTAGGTTGAAGGTATCCAACATATTTTCGAGCGAAAGATTGCTGTGTCTATTTGTGCGATCTGGGTCTAAAAGTTTTTGCGTATCTTGTTCCGGTATCTAGTTCACTTGTCTCTTCCCTCCTCTACTTCATATATGACTTTGTCTAGACCTCAAAGATGCTTCAGTCGAGGGATCATTGTTTAGTCCGTAGTCATGAACGAACGCCAAACACTCAACTATTAACCTTGACGTTGCAATTTCTTTCCGTCTGTTTAGAAAACACACGAATTATATAAAGTATGGTTTCCTAATCTCATTTATCTTCCTTTTTATGGAGGTATCATCCGAACCAATCAAATGTGAATTTTGTGCTTGAAATCATATCAGCATTTGCAAGTTAGTGGCTGATAACATTTCAGCAGGTATTCGAAAAGTTGATTGAGTGTTTTCTAACACCCACTATTTATGACATTTAGGCTTTTGAATGTAAAGAACATTTGTAGGTTTGTAATATTTGATTATAATTTTTACATAACATTAATCGTATGCTGTAGAACAACGAATTAAGTGATACAAACGTTAAACGCAGATATCTGTTGATCAGATTATAAATTTTCGTCCCCTGAGGTAGCTGGGACGTATGTCTAAGAAACGCCTACCTCGATGCGCAGTGCTGATTAGCGTAAAAGTGGGCTGAAACCCAGAAACACTCGACTTAGTATAAGGTGTCAATTAATGAAGTTACTATCAATCTGAGTCGTTCTGCTATGTTTAGATTCTCATATTGAGGTGCTTACAATAGTCGTTATCAGAATTTAATCAATATGGGTTTCAGTAGGGTAGTTGAAATTGTTCCTTTCCAGATCCTAAATCCTAAGTTTCAACATTAATTTATACCCTTTATTCTCTTTTCATGTTTGATCGTTATTTCACCATAATATACACTAATATTCAACCCGTTTATAGTGCATCATGTTAATTTTACCTTGATATGCTGATGTAGTGAAAACGAATAGTCTTTATTGGTGATTAGATTTGTCTTGATATTTTATTGTGCAAATGTTTTTTTCTAATATTCAAATCCAATTAATAATTTTGGTTAGGTTGTTTCTGGTGGGGTTGGTTCTAATTGTGTTATTCGTGCCGGTTTAACTGAGGTAGCTAATCATTATAATTTAAGATTTGTGGCTCCTCCATCAAGTCTATGTACTGATAATGGAATTATGATAGCATGGTAAGTCAAAAGTTCATGGCTATAAACGTTAAGTATTTAAAAAGTTTCTATCTTATCATTATGTAACAGTTGTAAGTAGTAATTACACATGTCAGATTGATTTCTTCATGACCAGATGGCGGTTTAACGCAATTGGAAAAATGTCCTGAATGTGTTTCATGTTTGCACTCTCTAGCGAAGTTCACCTGGAATCTGTGGAGAAATAATTCTAACTTATCCACCCTAATGCCGTAGTTTGAGATGTTCGCACTCAGATATTTGGGGTGTGACTGAGATGTCTACTAATCGGCCTCTAAGTAATCATCAGCGTAAACTAACGATAAGGGTTTTAACTGGGATAGTGATGACGTGAAGTTGAGTTCTACGAAAGCACCAGTTTTTACAAATCACTGATATGCTGTTCTAATGATTACAAACCAAGATAATACTTAGATTCAAGGTGTCTTGGTACTTGTTTCCAATCATTATTTAAGCAAGGTGTATCACATTGTCTAGTTAATTAGCCTTTTTTGAACGACATTGGTACTTAATCGTTCATCACAAAGAACTAAACAACATCAAACTGGTAGGTGCAAAGTTACATATTTGTGTTGACATTGTCATTTTTCATCGGGATAATCTGTAGAAAGTGGTCTTAACTTGCTACTCAATTGTGTTAAAAAAGGTACGTGTAACCAATTCAACCAACGAACTAGTGCATTGTTGCTTTCCGAACTTCATGGAATCTATACGTAACTTTTATAGTATCATTGAATTAGGCTAGGGAAAAGAATCAAAGTCCTCCAAAATTATGCAGTCAGAAGAAATATTTCGAAAGGGATACAAATGAAAACTTGTGAACAGTAGAGGCTATAGTTGTTTACCAATTCAAGCTAACCGTTGATTTAAAAAACTGTCCAATCCATCGTTCTGCCATGGACGCAACTTTACTTTCTATCTCCTATAATCTGTCGCTTTCTTCTACTCCTTTATAGTTATTTTTATCAACTATTAATAAACCATTACTGCTACATCTACTTGTTCTTTTCGTGATACTCATCAAGTGGACAATTATCTTCATCTCAACATTTTCCCGTTAGCAGTTGGATTATAACACAATTTCCTCTCAATATGTGATGCATGTCAATAATTTCTAACACCATTTTACTATGGACTACTAGTTTTGGTAAGCAAAGTAAATATACGTTCGATTGAACAGGTTTAGCAAATGAAATCCCTGAAAAGAAAATTATCTTCATTGAGTAGTCTTTATTCCTCTCTAATGACAGTGTCTTTCCCTTTCGTTATTTGATCATAAAATAACCGGTAGATATTCATTACTGTTCCTCTTAACAGATCAATAATCAGTAAAAGATGAGATTTATAAATAAAAATAAAGAAGGGTAACGGGTATCATTTGGTACAATGCATCACAATATATTGATAGAAAACCTGTTTTAATTGAACTAATCATATCCCCATGAAATCATCCCTAAAACCCCATTTAAATGAATTGTTGAAGATAGAACCACTAGCACAAGTCAATTGTTTGCATTATGTTGATTTATCCAAATAGCAAGTCGTTGATTAATAATAAAAGTAAAATATCACATGGCAACTAATGATATTTTTCCATTTAAATATCTATTCTCCTAAATACACTATTTGATTACTGGTCTCAATTAATTGTGTATTGTCCTCTTTCATTACTAATAAGGAATGGAGTTTTACTTCAAAAAGAAAATTCCTCTCGTATTACGGAAGATATCTGTTCTGTTGATTTTTGTCCAAGGTTAAGTTGATTCGTTTTTATTTTGTATATTTTCATGTAAATTAATTGTAATCTCATAAATGTAAATAATATTATCAGCGGAAAACATGAACTTTAAAACGTTAAAAATAGTGAACGATCGCATGTTATGATATAATTCACTTGAACAACTACGAGGATTTGGTGTACGTGATGATGGTAGGCACTCGAAACAAATTATACTTATCTGTCGATGAAAATCGTATTTGTTTTTTCTCAAAGTGATAGATCGAACCCATGTGTTATTCGTAATCAGTATATATGTGCGATAACTGTTTCTGACATAGTAATCAGTCAAGTGTAAATGCTTTAAATAATCGATAGATTTATATGTCCCCCCCAAACTTACATAATTCGCATTTATGCATCCATGGAGAATTACAATGATGGGAAGCAAGAGTTGTATGAATTACAGTCAACGACATAAATCGAACAATACAAACGGTAAACATGGAAGTGTTATGACTCACAATGTAGAAAACGTTAACGAATATATACGAGTCATTGATATCTTTTTATTCATGCCATCTAAGATCTCGAAGTGTTGTCGTGGAAACTTCAAATCAACAAATTTACGCTTAACAATTAGGGATTTAAATGAATTATTGATGTCACATCTTGGTTCGACTTCTCCAATGTTTACTTCCAATTCGATTCTCTACTACATAGTCTTTATTGTGCTGAAAGCATTTGTAATATATTTCTTAGTGAGTGAATATTCGTAAACTTATTAGACTTGTTCATCATCGCTCCACGACCAAACCATCCAACTCAGAGAACAAAACTCCACCAAAATCATCTCAACATCCATGATATTATATTAGTAAATTATTTGTGTAGTTCATATTCATATAATTTCCCAAAATTATCCCCTGATGTTAAACTTATTTAAAATAAACCTTTATACTTAAACTTACAAACAATTTTAACTATCGTACATGAATAGTAAAAGTTGATCTGTTTTCTCAATGCCCATATAGAGAAAAATATTGGCCTTAGTTACTTAGCTCATAAATTCCTATCCCACTAACAATATAGTTAATGTATATATACCTAAGAATGATTGATAGCCCATGCCAATATTGTGACTGGATACTCTTACATCAACTTATTACTATTCAGATTTTAAAATTCATACTGTTACAATACAAACGACCAAAGTAGTAATATCATTGTTTTATGAATATGTATATATATATATACTATATTTTTCATTCTCATAGATCTACATTTGGTATTGACTGTCGAGAAGATGTGAAACAAGCTAACATATCAATTGAACCAATTAAATTATCCAATACTATTTTTCAATCATAAGTAATAGTAGTACTATTTCTTTTGTTTAAGCTTTGAAATTTTTTGTGAATATGTATAAAATGAACGGTGATTGCAAAAATTCTATGACGTAATTCCTTGAATAAAAGAAATACGTATTCTAAAAACGTTCATTTTCTATTTGAACAAATAAATTTCACAGTAGTCAGGCGGTGCTTTAAATGAACGACCAAAAAAATTTCAGAGATTTGAACTTCAAAAACAAATAGGACATTTCGTTCGGCAATTCGGTTCAAATATTAGAATCATCGAATATAAATATATGTACGGCCACCATGAATTGATTGAAGTTGGGACCATTGAGTGTGGCAGCTCAATGTACTAAAAAAAATGCACTCATAACAGAATTTCATAGCTTTGTGTTAATTCTCTTGATACCGTTATAAATGAACATCACTTTGTAGACTTCTTAATTTACAGCAATTAACTAGTCAAAATCAATTTATGATGTATATCATCGTGAAACTAAAACAATTATTGCAGCACATATACATCGATATGTTTCGTGTGCTGTTGAGAAGTCTCATACTAGGACGAAACGCCCGTTTAGTGCTTTAAATTCTCCAATAATTGTTTAACTTTGATCAGTTCGTGATTTCAATGAAATTACCAGTATGGGGATTTGTGAAGTTTGTAGTATTTTCACAGTTGAAATCATGAATCAATCTAAGTTAGACCACCAATGAGAAAAATAGATCGACTCGTGGTTTCAACTCTAACAATTCAATGAAATTAATAACAATATTTTAAAACTTAAAAATACACAATGCATAAGTAGAATTACAATAAGAAATTTATTTACAACAATCAAAAAGAAACGAAATCTTCAAAAGAAATCATTTTAGGATGGATTACACTCTTGAGGTGGTGTAATAGTGTTTGAAGTTTTTCTATGCAGTGATGTAGGAGCTGATGCTGTTGATGAATTTTTCTGAATCTTCTGATTGATTGAGTTTGTGTTAGTGTAAATGTTATCCCGTTTTTTCTGATCACTGCAAGATGAGATTTTATTCAGCTCGTTTGAGTTCATATTGTTATGTACTTCTAGAGATGGTTTCTAGAGTTATAATGAATTAAAATTAAAAGATGTAAAAACAGTGATGTTTACAATTGCAAAATTAAGAAGACGATGATGTAACCACAGAAACTTTATTGGCGTAAAATTCTTTCTTGTTGACAGTCGATGGAATATGTCGCTTTAAGACTGATCCGTCTTAATGCTTGGTCTAACAAAGGGCGGTGAACTGATCGCTTAAACAGTCCTAACTGATTAATGACTTGTGATCATTAAAGGGCATCGATAAGTTGCTACAATTTTATCAAAGACGGAACGTCTGTATATATTTATGAATAAGCGAGTTACTGTGTAACAGTTCAACCTGCAATGACCCATGAAAGAATAAAACAGGCAGTTCAGAAATATTTATTCACTAGTATCTTCAAACCAAAGCTTCAATCAAACAAACACAACACAGAACTTGGTACATACGTGCATCGGTTTAGGTTGCCATATCCTCATTAGCACAACAAGACGAAATTGGGAGAATTCCAGAGTATTAGGGGTAGTAACAGTATTAATAGAAACATAAAGATTGGGCATCAAAGATATAATTGAAGAAAATATAAATTAGTGAAATAATCAAAAAGGGTATGAGGAATTCAGGAATACAAATAGTGGATGCGTCTGGGTTATTGTGAACGATTTTGAGTCATGTCAATCACAGTCTAACCATTAGTTACGATGGTAATGCTTACTTAAGACAAAACGATCAGGTAAATAATATTGAGATTAGAAGTACAGTTTTAGCTGAAAATAACGAAGCTATAAAACGTAAATCGACTCAAGCCATTGGGATATAAGTTGTATATTATTGGCAGCTAATTCTAATTACAGGTGTAAACCTTTTGACTGGAGATCGAATGATAATAGCCATTTGTGATGATAAGATTAAAAACTTTAATTTTTTAAAACAATTAAAAAACAGTTTTCAAAAGAAATGGCATTTTATGGTTGACCGGTATAATGAACATTTTGAAGTTATCATATAAAACATGTTAGAAATGTAGGCCAGTAATAATAATATTTACCTGTTTTGAAGGTTCTTGCTTAGAAATTTGCCAAGATGGATTGAAAGGTTTAGGCGCTGCAGGAGTAAGAAAAATTTCATCTTTCTTATTTTGTGGTTGAGAAATAGTAGGACGATCAATGAATTCAGATGGTCGACGATTAGCATCTTGATGATCTTTACCAATATTAGCATGAACAGAACGGAGTACATCCTGTGGTAATTGAGATGTACTTTCTGCTAATGGTCCATGTTTCAAAAAGCTAAAATCCTGGGAATATATTATTAAGAGAAAGTGATTTAACACAATATGAAAACAAATCAGCATGTTTTATATTGTTTAGATATTATCCTTTGCAAATAATTCATAGTAGTACATGCAGCATTTCTTTTACATTTGTATTTTTCAAAACATTTTTCTGTGTATTTAACATTTGATTGCTCATGAGAGAACTATTGTTCGTTTAATAACTGAGATGAATGCTACTAGACATCCGATTCGTAGGTTATATGGTTCAATATTAAATCTCAGGTTGAATAACATTCACTGATGAAACTTCGCAAATCAGTACAAGAGTTTATTATTGCGCACATGATGTCACTTAATGATGAAATATACCTTCGAATCATTAAATTTCTACATATGACCTCTTCGACAGAAATAACACTTCTTCCATTAATAGCTTATTTATAGCACTACTAAGTGAGTGTAATATTGAGGACCATAATGAATGAACGATAGTTTCTCTTTTAATTTTGCATACGAAACTTAGGCTAGATCCACTGTACAACGGTAGTAACTAAAGGCGAATGGAAATATACACTATGATGACTCGTCAATCCAAAAGCTAGAATATATACAATACACGAAAAATACCCGTTCTTTAGAAGTGTGTATATTCAATTATGAGACGCTCGGCCGTGAGTATTGGGAATTTACTTCAATTAACATAAAAAGTAAATAGCTTTAACAGTCCGCCTCGTTGAAGAAAGTTGTGTCACGTATACCATTAAATCTGCCGTCTATGACACTTATGTATAATGTTGCATATTGTCTATCAAAGTGTTTAATAACACAACTGGGACGCGTGAAATCGAGGTTCAAAATAATGATTTGTCTAAAGAATAATATGTGCAGAAATTCGAGCATTTCCTTTCTACATGAAGTTTTTGCTGCTGATGATATCGTTCAAAAAAAAAGATAAAAGATATTCTGGGTAACATGGCTCAGAATCAATCACAAAGGCGTATGTGCATACACTCGTTGTCTTCCCTTAAACCGTGAGATTAAAACTACCTTATACCTTTCTTTCTACAAACTAATTCTTTTTCCCTGTATCACATCGTTATATGCAATCCTTTTTTATATATTACTGCTATTAAATTGATCACTTCTAGGAATTTGGTGTGTCGTGTTGTTGTGCTATTGAGGTGTGATAAGTTGGACCGATGCATATATGTGTCTGCTCTCACGTTGTAGATGACTGACGTTTAGAAATGATCGAAAATGCTACTGTTTACTGAATGATTGCAAGTAGTATAAACCAATACACGAAAATGAGATAAATTAGGAGAGGACGACAGTGAATGCAAACAAACTTATGATGAAGTTATCGCTTGTTGATCAGACGCAGGTGGGTTGGTATGTGTGATATAGTGGTAAATCGGACACAGTAGTGCAACTGCGATAGTATTGCTGACTCCCTGTCTTTCTGTATTGTGTTTCTTATATGTAGATTCTTATTGTTTTCGGTATTTTATTTTGTTGATTTCATGCCGCCGCGGTGCTGTGATCTGTAACAACTTTAACCGATACACACTCGTGTTACTTCCTACATCAGTAAGTGACTGACTGACTGGTATTAAGGTAAAGCCTAATTATGAAAATCTAATTGAAAATAATTATTGTCATATTCTAAATGAATCATATAACATAAAAGTAGTATACACATCGAATCACTTACAGGATTTAATTTTTCCGAATGAAAATCATGAAAATCGGAAATCGGTTTTGAACAATTTTCGACATATTCCTTTTTTGAAAGCAGAGTAGATGAAAATGGTGAAAGAAAATGATCCGATTTGTGGGTGGTAGGCGATTTAACTTTTGATCTAGGCAATTCCGTAAGTGGTTTACGTGTTGAACTATGTCTCATAGGGCCGTTGTCAAGAATGGCTGTTGATGATGAAGACGACGATGATGATGGTAAGATTGGTTTTTCAGGAATGACAAAATTACTCGACTTGGTTGATAAAATGGGATGCGAAATTTTGTTCGGAACGGCATCCTGAAACCGTTACATGACAGAGACCATAATCGAATCGAACAATGAGAAACAGAAAACGTTACATTAACTATTTTAAAAAAACGAACTTAACACACATGTATAGTTTTTAACAATGAGTAAAAATTGATAATTGCACCTGAACTAGACAGTAATCACATCCGCAAATCTTAATTACTCTACTAGGGTTTTTCTGTAAATATGTACTTATACAACGAACAGCAGAGTACGAAATGTTCGAAAAATGTTAAAACATGCTGATTGGATAAGTATCTTTATTGAAATAATAAATATATAGAGGTTTTTTAAAATGATTAATTTGAATTAAGCAATTGAGACTGTCTAAAGGTCAAAAGACTGTCCTGACTACTTGATAACATCTCAAACAGTAAAGCTGGGTGACCTAGGTTCGAGTTCCTAGGAGGTTATCAGTTCCCTCAAGATTGCAGAAACCCCTTGCCAACTAGTACGAAATCCACGTCCTGGGTTTTTCGCTGACTAGCTTCAACCACTTAATACTTGAACATAGTGCACGAGATGTTGAGTCATTCAGACCAATGGGCACATCGCAACTATACAGATAGAGTGAAAATTCCCATTTTGCCATTTGGTAAATAAAGAAGGAACGAATTGAGCGAAGAAATTTCTTTTCAAAAAAAAAATTTCTTCGCTCAATTCGTTCCTTCTTTATACAGATAGAATTTAGCGAGGACCAAAGAATTAGACAAAAATGACATTAGTCAGTGTTATCA